TTTTGCAATCTTCTAATTTTAAGAATACTCACCATGAGCCAAAGTGATGGGAGCCAGCAGTCACAAATTGTCTTTAAATCTCATATGCCTTAAAATTTGACAACTTCCAATTAATCTCACAAATGAAATATTAAGTTGATAAAAGGTTCTGAATCTGTCTGTACAGTAGTATTTATTTTCCTTGAGAGTCTTCCCAAAACATGCATTCATTTCTTTTAGGTTATGCAAACCAGCCTAAAGTTTGATTCAGATCTTGTCCAAGTACAAAGTTTCACAGGTAGCTATGGCCCAAATGAATCCCAGGAACCACTGTGAATATAACCAGGAGAGTGTAGGGCTTACTTCTCTGCCTAATAAGTCCAGGATACCTACTGAAAGGGCGGTGAGCATCATCCCATATGTGGTCATCCTAAGGGGCCAATTTCAAAATAAGACTATTTGGCATGCTTTCAGGGACCAAAGATCAAGGACTAATTGGGCAAAGGTTTTTCTTTTCCCAGGAACCCCAATTTAAACAGGATGACCACCAACTGTTCCTTTTTGATCACACACACACACACACACACACACACACACACACACACACACTTGTGTGCCCAAATACCCTTCAGTTTGGGTATATGTCCCAGAGCTGGGTTAACTTGTCTACCAACACACTTTTAATTAAAATTGACTCTCCCTCTCAAAGCAGCTATCAGTTGCCAATAGTTCCTAAGCTGGGGATGGGTTTTCTTATACATTGTGGCACTTCTATTCTGGGAATTTGTCTGGCCTAAAATTGTGTATGTTTTGTTCATGTTATACAGTTATTGTGAGTACATTTGAGTAATTGCCCATATGTCTGGAAAGCACTGATTCCTTATGGTCATCCTCCACCAGTGGCTCTTATAAGCTTTCCAACCTCTCTTCTGCAATAATCCCTGAGGCCGAAGTTTGATATAGATGTGCTATTCAAGGCTGAGCATTCTTCAGTCTCTTGCACATTGACCAGTTGTGTATCTCCCCGTTAATCACCATCTCCTACAAAGGAAAGCTTCTCTTGTGAGAGCTAAGAGATATAATAATCAATGGGTATAACACTAAGTCATCAGGAGTCTGATTTAATACTATGTCCACTGAGTACAATAACAGTAGTAGGTTCTTTCCTATTGCAAATGACCTTTCCAGCCGCAGGTACCTAGACCTGATATTAGTGTCCATTAAGGGCCACATTTTGTGAAGTAGCCCATAAATCCAATTAGAGAGCGGTTAGTGACTCACATGATAATCATGCCATTATTGCAGCAATATGCAGATCTTGCTAGGCCAGTTGTAGGGTTCAGAGCTGGGATGATTATTGATTACTTTCCTCTTATTGTAGCATGCATGATACCTTACTTGGGGATGGAGTAGAGATGTTATAAAAAATCAGAAGGAAATATATCAATTCGAAATCCTACTTAAAAAAGATATATGTACTAGTGCATATATATATATATATATATATATATATAGTTTAAGAATATATAACAAACACAGGGCCAGACATTAGACACTTCCCTTGGAGTTGCTCAGGGTAGTCCAAGAGACTTCCAAAATAACACAGGCTATTGCAACAGTCCTTGATTGCCTCCCAGAACTTGAAGACAAGACCTTACTGCTGAAAATAAGACATACTTCAAACAAAAATTGGAGCAATCGAGCTGACCTGGAAGTTTCCCTCTGAAAACTAACTCATGCTAACAAAGGATACTATGTAAGCTGCGGAGAGAGAATACTAATCAATGATCCTACTCATCTGTAAAACATAATAACCACCACAATGATTGGTTCAGCAAACTATCTCTATTGTTGCAGTGGTGGCACTTTTAACTTGGGGGTAATCAACAACTAGTTGGAATTAAGGCCCACTCAATTGGGAAGGAACTTATATGTGATACTATAAACACAGCTGAATACACATGGCTGGAGAGGTCATAAATCCTAAAGAATAACCTACAGTTGCAACATCCATAGACAAACGTATTTTTTTGGTGTATTCTAAATATGCATTCTAATATTTACAGACAAGTGTGCCTTTCACTATGCATCAAAGAAACTTTTTCAACAAATGGAGACTGATACAGAGTTATACAACTGGTGAAACTCAGAGAATAATTGTCTCTGAGATGCTTAGCCTTACATAACACATTTTCAATGGAACCTCTACACAAAAGGTGAATGCATCTTTCAGTTTTTACCACAGAGATTTCCTTATGCAGCAGATGGCGATGAACACAGAATCTGACAACTGGCCAATACATAGAGAGTATGAGACTAGAGAGTGCTCATTCCTGGACATCTCTTTCAAAATTCTGCTTCCCAAGGCTCTGGAATCATTGCAGAAGATGGGGCAGAAAATTTTAAGAGCCAAAAGTAGTTCATGTTCACAAGGAAACAGTTTTCCAGACAGCAGATAAATTACACATATGAACTCACAGCAATGGTGACCACATGCACAAATCCTATGCAAATTCGAGCCAGACAAAAATCTCAGCATAGACTTGGAGGAGCAAGAAATTCCAACCTACCCCAAGGAACTTTTGACAACTGATGGCTACTGGAGAAAGGGAGAAACTGTCTCTTACAGGGATAGAACTCTTGCTATGTTGACTAGGCTCCATTGGATGGACCAGTGCTGAGAGACATGTGAACAGAAATCAGACTCTATAGGCCATAGTGTATATATAGTGGAGTACACTGAATTTGCTGGGGCATGGGAGGGCAGTGAGGGGAGGGGAGGGTGGGTGACAGGATCTAAATATCATCAAATAATATTGTATGAAAATCACAGAAAGTAAATAACAAATTTTTGAAAAAATAATCCATCATGCACACCATGGCAGAGAAACATGACATTAGCCATGACCAGAGGAGAAAGCTTAGGAGTAACAAACTCCAGCATGCACAGGAAACAGTGAGATGCACAGGAGGTGGGCCACGTCTATAAATTCTCAAAGCCTGCCCACAGAGATGTGCTTCTTCTAACAAGGCTGAAATCCCTAAACCAATGTGAGCACTGGCACTGTCGTGGTTTGAGTATTAAATACCCCTCAAATGCTCGATGTATTTGAATAGGTGTCCTGAGTTGGTGATGCTGCTATGAGAAGTCATGAAATCCCTAGGTGGTATGGTCTTGCTGGAGGAAATATGTCACTGGGGTCAGTATTGAGAGGTCATAGCCTTGTCCCACTTCCAGTTTCTCTCTTACTCTCTGCTTCCTGTTCTTGCTTGAAGATGTGAGGGATGAGCTTTCTGCCCAGGCTGCCTCTGCCACCATGCCTCCTTCACGTTGATGAATTCTTATCTCTATGGAACTATATGCCAAATAAACTCATCATGGACTAAGTTGCCCTGGTCATTGTATTTTACCACAGGAATAAAAAAGTAATTAATACAGCCATGAACTTGAGGCAATTTTCAAACACTTGGAGCCTATGAGGGCTATTTCTCAATTAAGCCATCACATTCCATTCTCTGCCCCCATGGACTTAGGACCATATCGTAAAGTAAAATGCGTTGAGCCCAACTTTTAAAGTCTCCATAGTCTTCAATAATCTCCACACTGTGCAAAATTCCAGTCTCTTTTGAGACTCTCTTTATAATACTATATAAATTCCAAAAGCAAATGACATAATTCCAACATAGCATGGCATAGAGTATGCATTCCCCTTGGGCTGGTATCACCTACTGTATACAGGACACTTCTGCAGATGTTTCACAGCTCTGGGATCTCCAACATCCCGAGAGTCCCTACTCCAACTTAGGCTTCATCTTTGCACTATGGCGACCCAGGGCCTTTTGGTCAATCATAACATTTTTTCCCAAGGGACTTGCCTGCCGTATGCTGCCTGTGCTAAGAGACTCTCTAAAACAGTGGAAAAGGAATCAACAACAACTTCACATTTGTAACTTTCACGTTTCTAAACCCAGTGCCACTACAACACTATCAAGTTAGGCTGCCAGCTTGGAATGGTACTTGCCCCCCTGCACCCATTTTACCAGCAGCTTTAAAAAAAGAGTATTGAATTTTTGTGCATTTCATACAATAAATCTTGACCATATTTAGACCACTTCCTGTACCTGTACACCCTATAGGTCTCCTCCCGCCACTGGCTAGTTTTCATGCATTCTGTCATATAGGTTAAGGACTATCAAGTAAAGTTTGTGTCCCAAAATGTCTATTGGTGTGAGTCATTGAATAGATTCTGGTCAGCCTAATCTCTTCTAAAGAATATCAACTTTCCCTCACATACCAGTGGTTAGTTGTCAGTAGTTCCTCGGCTAATGTTGAGTCTTCTTACCCATTTTCCTGCTTCTATGCTAGGTTTTTGTCTGGTTTGAGTTTGCATGGATCTGCAAGCTGTCACCATTGCTGTAAGTTCATATGTGCAGGTTCACATCCGCTTGGAAAACTGTTTCCTTGTGGTCATCCACCACCTGGCCTGTACAGTCTTTGCTCCCCTTTTCTGAAATGGTCCCTAAGCCATGGGTGACAGAAGTTTAATATCAGAGTCCTATCCAGAAACACACTCTGCAGCCTCTTCTTCTGCACATTTTTGCCAGATGTGGCTTTCTGCATTAATCAACATGTGTTACATGAAGAAGCTTCACTGGTGACAGCTGAGAGATGAATTAATATTCTCTCTGGCCTCTGTTCCACTATGTGTCCTGAACCAAAATGTGGAGGGTGCATTGTAGATATTATACTTAGCGTTGAGCACCTCATAGACACTTATTCTCTTTCTTTATTTATGGAACTCTGTATTAATCTCCATCTGTTATAAAAAGATTTTTTGATGAGTAATGAGAGGTATATTTGTTTGTAAATGTAAGGATACAGATTTAGCATACAGTGAGAATTACATTTATCTAGGAATGTGACAGAGGCAGGGTTTTCTCTAGAATCTATGACCTCTCCAACCATGTCTATTTGACTATGTTTCTAGTACTACACAGGAGTTCCCTCATATTGAGTTGGTTTTAATTCCAATTAGATAGGTGTTGACTACTCCCAAAATAAAAGTGTCACTACTGATCAATAAACTTTGTTGTGCTGGTCATTTTTGTGGTTATTAGCCTTTACAGCTTGGTTGGAGCATTTAGTGGTTTACCTTGGCAGCTTGCATAGTATCCTCTGATACTATGAGAGCTGGTGCTTAGGGAGGAGAATTTTGGGTCAGTTCCAGCTCAATTGTTCCAAGTCTTGTAACTGAAGTATGTTCTATCTTCAGCAATAGGGTCTTACCTTCAAGTTTTGGGAAACAATCAAGGACTGAGGCAATAGCTTCTGTTACTTTGGGAGTTTCTTTGACCATGATCAGCAACTTGAAGGGATATGTCTCCTCTCTGGCTCTGTGTTTCTTCTTATATAGCCTTCAGCTATAGAAACACACACACATACACACACACACACACAGTGTGTGTGTGTGTGTATGTGTGTGTGTGTGTGTGTGTGTATTTTAGTAGACTTTTGAATGAATACATTTCCCTCTGGTTTTTTATACTACATCAGAATTACTTATTTCACCTCTCTCTACCCTTATATAACTCTCCTTCCTTCCTCCCTCCCTCCCTCCCTCCCTCCCTTCCTTCCTTCCTTCACAGTTAAGGAATCCTCATTTTCTCCTTGATTAGAGCTGCCTGCTACTATTATCAGCAGCTTTTAAAAATATTTTTTATTTATTATTTTTATTTTATGTGTACGAGTTTATTGCCTGCATGTGTGTAAGTGCACCTGTGTCATGCAATGCCCTTGGAGGTCAGAAGAGGGTGTTGGATCCCCTGGAACTGGAGTTAGGATGGTTATTATCTACCACATAGGTGCTGGGAATCGAACCTGGGTCCTCTGCAAAAGCAGCCAGTGTTTGTAACCACTGAGCCAACTATCCAGCCCTATCAGCACCTTTTTTTTTAATAACAGAAAAGCCCTTAGACACTATTCTTTCACACTTTAAAAGATTAGCTGGGTGGGATCTTATCTAAGGATACTCATTCCCTTGTTCAGTAGAGCAGGAGGCCTCTCTTTAAGAGTGCTTAACTCCTGGAAAAATGATAGCCTCTCTTCTAGAGCAGGTCTGGGCTGCAACATTATGATTCTTAGTGTTCTTTTGCTATTCAAACTACATATTATCTTTCTGTCTATGAGCTCTCTCTATCTGCATATAAATAATAAAATTTATCAGTAATGATGCAGTTTTTGTTTTGACTTATGGATTTTAACAGTGTTACTTGCATGAGTAAGGATGGGTGTTATTTGCTTGAGCAAGGGCAACATCACAGTGACTCTATCACTGAGGAATATGACACCTTTTCCTCTATTAATTATTAACCTCTCGTAGCTGGGCGAAATGAGGTCAGGCTTCAGGAGCTCCTTCCCAATCCAGGAGAGACTATTAATAAGGTCAATCTATTCAAGTTTTGTACAGGTAACCAGAGCTTCTGTGAGTTCAAGGTCTTCATTTCCAGAAGGCCTCAGTTCACCATACTTGTCCCCATACTTTGACTCTTCCATTCCTTCTACAACCTCTGGCAGGTTATTTCCCTGAGTCTTTGAGTAGCTGATATAGATCTTCCATATAGGGTTGAACAGTAACATTCATTTATTCTCAGGACTATGATCAGTTATGATTCTCTGCATTAACCACTGCCACTGTAAGACCAAGCTTCTCTGATCAAGGCTGACAGTAGCACTATTGCATGGATATAAGCCTAAGTATTCAGAAGGCAGTTAGACAAATGTTGAATTGACAAAACAGCAGTAGTAGATTATCTCTAGGGCCTATGACTCTTCCAGGCATGAGTAGATTATAAAATTTATAGAACCAGTCATGATTTCTGTTCAGTGGAGCAACACACAAATCAAATCAGAGAGGGGCTGTTTATAACAGTCATGCCACTGTTGCACCTCTGATTATATCTCACCTGGCAGGTCAGTGTTGTAGTATACATTGTCTTCAGCTGTAGAAGATGGTTGATAACTTCTTTCTAGCACCTTTTACTTTAAAAACAAATGAGTGTTATGTCTGTTGGTGAAGGCCTATAATTCAACTGACTATAAAGTTGAATCTGAAGATCATACACCCAAGGCCAGCTTAGATAATTAAGAAAACGTTTGCGAGGACCCTTCCCTGCCCGCAGCACGATGGGGGCCGAGGAGGGGGAGTGCGCTGCCATCCCAAACCTCTGTTCCAGAGGAACCACCAAGGAGGCAGGGAGTCTTGTCAAGCAGGAGCTCGTTTATTAAGCAGCAGGCAGGTGTTTATATACATTTGTCAGCATTAGGTGTTCCGCCCCTGTCCTCCCCCAAGACATGATTGGTTTCAGCCATAAAGCCTAATTTAGCATTTTAGATTTCTGTTTCCTCCATCAGTTAAGTTTCCATTTCCTATTTCCCTCTGCCCACATGGTGGGAGCAAGAGCGGGAACCTCCTACCCCCAACAGGGTGTGGTTTCTCTTTCTCATAGCAGGTCCAGGTGTCGGAGATGAGATACAGGAGAAGGTGGGGACCCACCAACAGTCTTCTGGAGCTAGTCTGGCTGCACCCCAGCTGCTTCCTCTGAATGTTGTGCTTTCTCACCTCCTGCCTCCTGCCTCAGGCCCCTACATCTCCCCCTGTTTTATTTATTTATTTATTTATTTATTTATTTATTTATTTATTTATTTCTACATCTCCCCCTGTTTCATTTTCTTTTTCTTAGCTCGTGGCTCCTTAGAGATAGCCCCGGGGATGGGGGTTACCGCCCCCTATCTCCTTTTATTGTGACTCTCCTGTCTTAGGTCACCTCCCCTCAGGGTCTGAAGTTGCCCATCCTCGGGTATCCATGATTGCCCTCATGGTCCCTGTCTTAGGTCATCAGCCTGAGAGGGTGTTACCCGTCATTGGGAATAGTCACATATGATCAATAGGGGTCTATCCCTTTAAGAGGGCAAAACAGCCCGGGCTCTAGGGCCAATTTCAACATCCAGACCTGGACTTGTCCAGGGGAAGGGCCTGAGGGTGACTGAGTGGCCAGGGCAGCTGGACAAAGACTTTCTTCATCTGTCGTTGTTTTTTGATGACTGAGCAGAGACATCTGAGGAGAACAAAAGCTAGCACAAGCATTAGAAATACGCTTCCATAAGCAAGTAACCAAGTTGTGTCCAGGAATCCCTTAATGTGCTCCCATACCTTGCTGAAGAAGGAGGAGTCCATCGAAAGCACCAGGGCTCGAGTGTAATTTAAGGTAATAATTTGATTGGTCAGGAATGTGGAGTAATTAAGAAGCTGTTGATTCCAGTGACCATAAATATACTTAGAGAGCTGTAGGCGTGATTCAGAGAGATTGTGGACCCTATAGGGGGTAAGGCAGAGTGACTTATATTGGGGGTCACAGGCTAGCAGAGCTATAGCCTTGGTAAGCACCACCTCTTCACTTAGGAGGTCAATTTGCTGTTGAAGAACCATAACCGCCTGATGGAGATGCTGATTGATAAGGGACTGAGTGTGAAGGCAGAGGAAGTCTTGGACACTAGGTCATTGAGTATCTCCACAGTAGTGGGTGATTGTGTTATGGCTACCGCCACCATGGTGGACCCCTGATGCAAGGATGATAGTAGAGATGATTGCAGCCATGATCCCAAAGTCCTGCTTTACCCGAGGGGCTTGCATCATGGTTGTCCACTCTATAAGTCACAGCATGGAAATGCGTGGCATTAGTGACTGGGACCCAAAGGGCTCTGGGCTCACGCATGAAGAGGACTATGTGTGCTGGATAGTTCCAGGTAGCTGCCAGGACACAGGTGGTGCTGACATCAGAGCAGTTGAGTTGATCCCGTGGGTTGGTAGTAACATTGGCCAATAACAAGGAAAATGGAGGCCGCACGCATATGGGTGTGGGAGGCCAGAGCGTGGATTTAGAAATAGTTGTATTGAAGAGGCTTAGGTTGCACCCATTGACATAAGTGCCATTAGTGAGCTTAAGGCCCTATTGGGCTAGCAATGGCCTTATGTCCAGGCAAGTGAACGGGCCACAGAAGTCCCAATTACCAAGGAATGATTCATGGCAAGTGGGAGAGATCCTCATGCCACAGGGGTTGGTTGTGGCCAGCAGCCTCCAGGACACCAGAGGGTGATCGGGGGTGGGGGTGGGGGGAACAGCTGAAGTGGCAGAAGGGAGCGGCAGCTTGTTTGGGGTGGCACCTTAGCCAAGGCATAGGGAGTGAGGAGGAAGGGTACAAGGGAGCGTGTGCATGGGAAATTGGGGATCATTAGTCACAGGACAGTAGGACACAACGGAGAAGGAGGGGAGCCAGCTGTGCCACTCCCCTGGGGGCCCAATATGGCCAAGACTGCAGCCTTATCAGACAGGTTGAAGAGGGGCGAAAGGCCTCTTAGTCCAAGGAAGTTACCTGAGGAGGCATCACCATCATAATCCATAACAGTTAAGTTAAACTGCCTGACACAGGAGGAAGCATTATTAGTGGTGAAGCACAGTGAGTCTTTTAGGGGCCATGAGCCATTGATTCGTTCCCAAGAAGGAACAGGGTCCATGGTGGGAAGGCCAAGTGTATAATTAGTCGAATATAAGGTAGGGTAGGTAGGGGAAGAAAGGGATAAGGGTAAAAGTATAGGCAGGGAAGGGACCAGGGCCCAAAGGTCCTTGGCCTTTATTTAGCCGATAGCCAGCAGAAGAAGGGGCACCGTGGTTGTCACCCTCTTGTCAGCCATCTATGGTCCCTTCTGTAGTTCAGCTATCAGATCTTGAACAACGATGGTGATAAGGAAGATGATGATGGCCAGGGCAGCAGTGACAAGCACAGCAATGAAAGCTTTCCATCCAAAAATTCCATTCTGTAAGACATAAGAAATCTCCTCAAAGGTTTGATACCCTTAGGCTAGGGTTATCCCTACATTTTTAGATTTTTTGCAGGCACCCAGATGGGCTGAGGCTCATTCATGGGAAAGACGCATCCAAATCCTCTGCCCATAGTAAGGAGCAGGTCAAGTCCCTGCCATTGTCCGTTAATGTGTCCTTCCACCTGACTTTAACCTGGGGTCTTGGGTCCAACTGTCCCCAGTGTTGTTGAAATCTTGGGAGGGGTTGGTCTTTGGTGAAATTTAAAATATTAATCGTGAAAAGTGCCAGCCCCAACTGCTGATGGGGGCTTACTTTTTTTGTTTTTGTAATTAGATTTTAAGGTTTTGGTGGTTGTGTTTTATAATGGCTTGGCCTTGGGGATTGTAAGGAATCCCTGTATTATGTTGGATGTTTTAAAGCAGAAAAAACTCCTGTAAACTCTTACTCACAAAACATGGGCCATTATTAGTTTTGATTTTTTGGGGAAGTCCCAATGTAGCAAAACATTGGAGAAAGTGAGACTGAGTATGTTTAGACTTTTTCCCTGCATGGGCAGTGGCCCAGCAGACATGTGAAAATGTATCAATAGATACAAAAACATATTTAAGTTTTTCAAAAGGAGCATAATGCGTGACATCTGTTTGCCATAAGGAATTAGGTTTGAATCCCCTGGGGTTTACACCTGGCTGTTGTAGAGGCGGCACCTGTAGAAAGGGCTGACAGGATTTATAGGTTTGTACGATTTTTTTTAGATCCTTAATGGGAATCTGAGGGTATTTTTCATGGAGCCCCCACCAATTTATGTGTGTGAGGTCATGTAACCCTTGAGACTGACTTAAGGTCACTGTCATAATTTGGGTGGACTCCATTTTGCCTGCCTCAGCATTGCCCTGGGATAGGAGCCCAGGCAATTCTTGGTGTCTCCTAAGGTGTTGTCTGCAGCGTGCGAGTCTGAATCATCAAGGGGGTGATAGGGTATCATCTAATCGGATGTGAGAACCTAATAGTCCTGGAAGAAGGATGACTACATACAGGCTGTCAGAAAATAAATTTATGGGTTTATTTATCTTTGTTAAGGCCAGAGCAACAGCTATAAGCTCCTCAAACTGGGCTGACCCATCACAAGTGTGGACGTATGTTTTTGATTTTTCATTTGTCCCTGGATATATTATTACTGTGGCTCCAAATCTACCCCCTTCAGTGAAAACATTATGGGCTTTTAGTAATGGCTCCTTAATGAAGAGCCAGGGGGTGTCCCAGGAAAGGGTGCGAAAGGAGGTTACCCATTTATGAGGGCCATAATGACAGTCCAAATTTCCCAGGAACTCTTTCAAGGCTATGGCCACTAGATTGTTATTTTTGTAAAGCCATTTAAAATCTTTAAGCTGATAAGGGATAACAATTTTAAGAGGGTCTATGCCATAATGTCTTAGGGCCAAGTCACGCCCCTTTCAATCAAGTCAGCTAATTGATCCATGGGTGTATAAACCCGTGGCATGCCTCCTAGAGAGACATGTACTCATTGAAGGGGCTTCCCATCCTGCATAAGGACAGACGTCATCAAAGTCTCGCCAGGGAGTACCCACAACTCAAGATCTTTACTAGGTGTGTACCGGGCAAGTTGGGCCTGGTCCAGGGCATCCTGGACTTTATGTAAGATATGCAGGTGTTGAGGAGCCAAGTGAATTAGTTTTGAAGGCTGTTTTTTTACTATCAATTGAAACAGTGGTGTTAAGGTCTCAGTGGAAACAGGTATCCAGACTCTCAGCCAATTAACTTTTTTTAAAATAATTTTTGCAGCTCTGCCAGGGTAACAGTGGGCTTGACAGCCAATTGTTGTTTTAAAGGACTTACTGCATCCAAAGAAAGTATGGTTCCCAGGATTTTAAAGGGAGCAACAGTTTGTATTTTATCAGCGGATACATGGAGCCCACCTGTCTGTAGACATTTTTCGGTAACCCCATATAATTGTCTTAATTGTTGGGGGTTCTGGGCTCCCAGGATGATATCATCCATGTAAATATACACAATGGTGTGAGGGAGCAAGAGGGCAGGCTCCAAAAGGGTCTTTATATAGCTATGGCAGAATGCTGGACTATTGGCCATACCTTGGGGTAAAACAGTCCATTCATACCTTTTATCAGGCATTTTAAAGTTAGTGGAAGGTATAGAGAAAGCAAACTTTTCACAATCCTGGGGTTATAAAGGGATAGAGAAAAAACAATCTTTGATGTCTATAACTATAAGAAACAAATCTGAGGAAATAGCAGGGATCCAAGGCAACCTCCTTAGGGGTGTACCCACTAGGGTCATTTTAGCATCAATTTTTCAAAAATCTTGTAGCATTTTTTATTTGTCAGAGGCCTTCTTAATAACAAAAATGGGTGTGTTCCATGGACTTACAGAAGGCCGGATGTGGCCCAGTTGTAATTGTTTCTACACAATTTTTTTCAAGGCCTGTAACTTTGTTTCAGATAGTGGCCACTGCTCCACCCATACCGGTGCTCCTGGGGACCATTGGATAGCCAGAACCTGAGGGGCAGTGGCCCTTAGAATTGGGGGTGAAACCGGGGGATCTTATTGACTCTCCCCGATAATTATGAAAGCTTGAGAACTCTTGCTCTTTAGTCTCCTCTAATCCTTTTGGGAGTCTATTGAACTCTTCCTGTACTAAGAGGTTTTCATAAAATGCCTTACTATCTGTGGTAAACATAGCATCCATTTGGCCTAGGAGGTCCTGGCCAAGCAAATTGGACTGCAACCTGGGTGCCACTAGGGGCTGGATCTTACCTCTAGATCCATCTGTGTCCCTCCACTCTAGCAGCCCTTGCACCTCCTCGGCTCTAGCAAGCCTGCCCATGCCCAAAATTTGTGGGCCAGGTTTTAGAGGCCATGTACTAGGTATTTTTTCCTTTCTAAGTATGGTATGATCTGCCCCAGTATCGATGAGACAGTGAAATCTTTTTTCCCCTATGAAGATGTTTATCTTTGGCCTGAGGCCTTTGTAGATGGGAACCATCCAATTGGTCCAAGTTATTCTCGTCTCAGGTCTTTCTTTTGATAATGGGGCTAGAGGCCACCCGGGAACTAGTTTAAAGGCTTTCCAGCTATATCAAACTTAGATCTGCAGTCCTTTCTCCAATGATATTTCTTTCTGCAACTAGGACAGGGTTTTTTTGGTCCGACATCTATCTGGTCCCCCTGTTTTAGGGTTTGTCCCTTTTCTTCAGGGCAGTCTTGCTTAAAGTGCCCTCTCTTCCCACAGATAAAACATTTCCCCCCTCCCCCTTTTCTCTGCCGTGTCATCTGGGTGGTTGCAAGGGCCTGCATCATGGCTTCCACCAATGAAGTAGTTTGCGCCTGTAGTGTGTTAGTCAGTGTGTGAATCTTATGAGATCGGGTTCCTACATCCTGGGAGGCCACAATCCACTGACTCATGGAGTTATTTCTAAGCCCGGAGCAAGCTGCCTGGTGATCCTGATTCATGCCGTCCCACACCATAACTCTTATAAATTCGTCCCTCAAAGGCCCGGAAGGCAATTTTCATATCAAGCTGTTCTGCACCCTATCTATGAATTTAGGAAGCGGCTCAGAGGGCTTTTGTCTC